TAGACAGATGGAAAATCACCTGGATTTTGTAAAAATAACATATAGTACTTATTAGACATAAAAAGTTTAAAAATAATACAATTTATTTGAAGTTTTTTGGTGAAAGTACCTCGTTAGATGCCTTTTGGAAATACACTCTTGTCTCATTGCAGTCTATAGTATACAATGTGCAAGCAGTTTGAGCATTTCCAAACACTGCAGACTATCATGTTTTCTAGTATTAATCAATAATGCTTTCTCCAGCTTTGAAATAGTATCTGGATAAACAAACACAAATCTGCATTCAAAAATTTTAAATTATGGTTTTTTTTTTTTTCCAGCAATTAGCGCCAACAATTCAATGTATGCAACAAAATGATTAAGCTAAGCTCAATGAGACGAAATTTGATTTCAAATAATGTAAAAAAGTTATTAATTTAGTCTAAGAGCAGCTCCAGCGGGAGATCCAGCCCGATGGACCGGTGAGACCACCTACCCTATAGCCCCAGCTCCTTACTCCAGCCCATGCAGGCGATTGGACTGAGGGGGGGCCCGAGTGAGAGGCCCGGCTCGAATCAGTGGCCTGAGAGCCTAAGGCCAAATTTGCGTCAGGCACGTGTCGCACACGTGGACGTGGGGGCGAGTCACCAACAGCTTTTCAGTCGGTGGGGCTCGCGATGCAGACAACTGAAATGTTACCGTTGGTGGGCCACGTGGCATGTTCTCGTCCGTTGGATTTCAACGGATACTTTTTTCTAGACAGTTGGATTTCCAACGGTCAAAAAAAATTTCAAACCTTCCTCAATATCAGCCATTGGATTTGAGATTAACGGTCTACGTTATTCATCTTTAAAAATTTTAAAAACAAAAGAAAAAACTGAAAAAAAATGAGATGTTACCGTTGTGCCATGTGGCACAATCTGAAGGGTTGGATTTCAAATTTTTTTTAATCCAACGGCAGAAATTAATTAAGTTAATAAAAAATCCAAAAAAAAAAATTGATTTTACTTTTCTATAAATACCTTCTCATTATCTTTCCACCCTAGACCACAATTTCATATTTTCTCAAATACTTTCAACCACATTCTAATCTTTCTCTCAAAGTTTGAATCCAATTGGTTTCCAACAAAATGACTAATGATGCATGTACGAATTGGACGCTTATTGAAGATGTTACGCTGTGTTCTTGCTAGGTTGAAGTTACTCATGATCCAATTATGGGTAATGAGATGCAGTTGCGAGAAATTTGGAGTCTTATTCATACCTTTTTTCTTGAGAAAATGGGTGGGAAAAGAACCAAAGAATCGATGTCCAGTCGTTGGAGAATACTCAACCAATCGTTTAGTTTTTGGAGAGACGCCTTGGCACAAGCTAGTAGTAATCTTCTGTGTAGGTTTCATGAACATGCGAGGCATGATCGTTTAGTTTAAAAATAAAAGTTGTCATGAACAGCACCCCTCTACACTCTACGCACGATCATGCCTCACATGTTCATGAAACCGACACAGAAGAAGGATCGGGGTCTACCCGTTATCCAATTATGCCTCAAGGTAAGAAGGCTTCAAAGAGAAAAGGGAGTGCTTCCAAGAATGATTATGCAAAATATATGGAAGAATTTGCTCACCAAGGTGAATTGACTTTGGCATGGGAAATGGCTAAATTTGAGGCTGATAAGGCTAGAGAGGAGGCAAAAGTTGCAGCTGCTGAGAGATTATTTCAAGCTAATGAGAGAGAAAGAGAGCTACTTAGGCAAGAAAGGGAAGACCTTAAAGAAGAAAGAAGGGCACAACAAGATCATGACATTATGCAGGAGCCTGTAGAGGCAATGTCTCCAAATTCTAAATATTTTTGGAATTCGGAGAAAGCGGACGTGGTGCGAAGGAGGTGTGCAAGAGAAGAGAGAGCAAGAGGAGATGGTCCTAGCACCACAAGAGGAGATGATCCTAGCACCACAAATTGGTTAGGTGATGATTTTCCATTCACGAGGGATTAGGGAATTTGTTTTTAATCAGAGCGCATAATTTTCTAATCACTTTGGGTTGTAATTTCTTATTTATTGAATAGAGTACTTTATGTTGTTTTCAATTTATTGAATTAGGACTTTATTTAAACTAAGAGTATATTTATTTAATTTGGTAATTTATTTAAACTAAGAGAATCTTTATTCAAAGGACATAAACACACCAAATAAAATTACATAAACATACCAAATAAAATTACAAACACAACAAATATAAAAATAAAAAAATAAAAAAAAACTCACTAAATGAACTTAAAAAACACACCAAATAAAATTAAATAAACACACCAAAAAAAACAAACACACTAAATGAACTTAAGTTTCTTGAGCTTGTTTCAATTCCCACTAGTGCTCTATCAAGTCAATTTGCCGGGTATTGTGCATTGCATATATGGGTCCTGAAGTGAAGTATATCATTGAATGAGCCTTTCATTATAACGTTCATCCTTTTGTAATGGCTCGTGTTGCACGGGTTCTTATGTGGTGTCATGAGCACAATATATTTGTGTTATGGAATTGTTCATCGTGTTTGGCTCATATTCATCAACGACATCATAATCGTACTCATCTTCCACAATCATGTTGTGAAGAATGATGCACGTCATCATAATGGATCAAAACGACTCTAAATCAAACATTCTGGTAGCACCCCTGACAATTGCACAACAAGCTTGGAGGATACCAAAACAACATTCCACAACCTTCCTACACCCCTCTTGACAGCTTGCAAAGTGTTTTTCCTTTGCACTTTGCGGATGTGGCACTGTTTAGACAAACAATGACCACCTTGGGTAAATCTTGTCTGCTAGGTAGTATAGCCCATGGTACTTAAGTTCGTTGACCCAGTACGTGATTCTTGGTACTTTTCCTTGCAGGACATCGTTGAATACTGGGGATTGGGCAAGGACATTGAGGTCATTTTGAACTTCCGGAACATCAAAAAAAGCGTGCCAAATCCATCTATCAAATGATGCCACCGCCTCCAAAATGATACTTTTTCCTCCTTTTATGTCCCTATAAGCTCCTTGCCATGCACTTGGATAGTTTTTCCAGGTCCATTGCATACAGTCGATGCTTCCAATCATCCCAGGAAAACCTCGCATCTTGCCTTTCTTCAGAAGCCCTTGCAAGTCCATCTCAATAGGTCTCCGGAGGTACTCTGTGGTGTAGATAGATTCGATTGCAGAGCAAAACCTCATCAGGGACTCAAGAATGGTTGATTTCCTCATCCTCACTATCTCATCCACTTGGTCTGCAGATGCTCCATATGCAAGCATCCGCAAGGCAACATTAATTTTTTGCTCAGAAAGAAGACCCATAACACCAAAAGCATCATTCTTTTGCACAACGTAAGAATCATGGTTGCAAACAACAATCATGATTTTTTTTAACAAATGTCATTCCATTCTAAACCCACGTCTAAAGTACATATTAGGGAATGCACTGTTGCGGACAAAATAATCATCCAAGAGATCAGTACCTCTTCATTGCTTTCTTCTATCAATGTTTGCGGAACAGCTGGGGCCTGGAGATCTGAGCCACAACTTGGATGACTCGACGGGAATGTGAGGCTTTTTGGCTTCTTACTTTGTCATCTCTCCTTCTAAACTCCTCATCCTCTTCCTCTTCCATCTCATTTGCCCCCACTTGGAAATTGAACATTTCTTCCCCTTGCTTAAACAATTCTTTCTCTTGCTCATCGATTTCCCACAACATCCTTGAAGAAGACATTGTAAGAAAGAAGCAGAAACTATGAATAATGATAGAGATTTTGATTTTGGTGTGTGATTTCTTAGGATGGATGGTGGGTTATAAGGAGGAAAAAAGAATGATTAGGTTGTAGATAATGTCACGTGGCACGCCGTCATTCATTAAAAATTTGATCGAAATCTATCCTCAAAGATTGTAAACAGATTGTGACACGTGACACGACGTGATTGGTTAAAAATCTTATCGGAAATCTATTCTCAATGATTCTGAAAAAGGTAACGACACGTGGCATGACGGCATTGGATAAAAATCTTATCGAAATCTATCACCAAAAATTATCTTTTCGGATAATGATATGTGGCACAATGAGAACGATTAAAAATCCTGAAATTACAAATAAAATTATTTTGTATTATAAAAAATACTAATATTTTATTGCGTATTGCCATGGCTATTCAGTTAGGGGTGGAGATGTAAAGGGCAATTACTGTTCATTAAAGGAAATTACTATTCACTGGAGGGGATTGAATAAGAAGTTGCCCTATGGGGCCTTTGATACATTGGAGTTGCTCTAAAGAAAGGTTTGAAATTGGCACTATTCAAATGAACAATTTTTCAATCCGAATTTCAGATTAATTACAACCATGCCATTAGTCTTTGTGTTGGTTTTGGGTTAGCAGCCCAGCCCACAGCCAGGCCCAAATGTGTTGGTTTTAGCTAGGAAGCCTGGCCCTCAGTAAGGCCCAAATTATATAATTACATTTTTGCCCATCAAAGATTACAATCCGATGGTGGGGATGGTCTATTACGAAAGGCAATTTTGTCCTCTCTGTTTTGGGAGAGATAGGGGGTCACCGGGTAGGTAACATTTGTTGTCGTTCAATTAGGGTTTCAGGGAGGGTCTGCGAGAGAGAGAGAGAGAGAGAGAGAAAGAGACACACACACACACACATGGCAATGGAAAAAGAGCAAGGGGGAGAGGTAGGGTATGCGAGAGAGAGACACACACACACATGCACACTGTTAGGATTCTAATCCACCTCAGCTTATTTCCTTTTTCTTAATCCTTATCTAGTGGTGGAATAATAGAACATAGTGACTCAACAATAGTGTACCTAACTCTTTGTCTGTAGTGAATGATGTGGGTATACAATGCCGATGGTGGTACCCTTTTGGGATATGAATGAAATGTTGTTTTTATAATTTCTCTGTCATTTCCTTTTTCTCTGCAATTTCACCTCTTAGCCCTTCTAAAACCTACCATTTGGTATCCAGAGCCAGGTTTACATCCATGGGCAAGAGTAAGGCGTCGATCACGGTGGCCGACGTGATGGAGGATGAGATGGACCGTGAATTTCAACAACATCCAATCCTCACTCAGCTTCAGGAGTTTCAAGAGGCCATGTCCATAATGATCGTCTGCAATGAAGACCTCCAACAAGCCATGGCCGATCTCTCTGTCCACCGACTCCGTCAAGATCAAGTGCAACAGACGATTCTCGACGAGATTCGTGCTCTGAATACCCCACCCCAACCCAGCCCCTAAATTCCGATTGGTTCTATCCCCATTTCCCTCGGCCCTTCCCCCTTCTCTTTCGTCCACACTCTTGTACCACCACCCACATAGGGTCTCTCCTCCTCCCAACCGATAATATCCACCCACCCTCTAAGGTCGCACCTCGCCGCGAGTCCCTCATCCACTTCTTTTCCACTTCACTCCTTGAGCTGCCCCTTCACCTCTCGCTACCTTCCCTCATCCTCTACCAGCCCAAACCCTTCTTCCTTCAACCCCAACCTCCATGTTCCCTGCCACTACCCACCCTCTTCACCGACCTTCTCAGCGCCTAAAACCTTGAAAATCGAACTTCCTCATTTTTCTAAGGACGACCCATATGGCTGGCTTGCAATGGTTGATGAATTCTTAGACTATCACAAAATAGCCGAGCATCGCCGCATCACAGTGGCAGGACTTCATCTTAGCGATGATGCGGCTTATTGGCTCTGCTGGTTCAAAATGTGGTTTCCGCTTTCGTCATAGGCCACCTTCATGGCCCAACTGCTACAACGGTTTGGCCCAACAGATTCCTTGAACTTCAACATGGCCCTATTGCACATTTCCCAGACCACAACAGTGGATGCGTATGTGGGCCAGTTCATTCGTTTCTCATGCGATACTCCCGATTAAACTGATGCACAAATTCTAGGAGCCTTCTTAGGCGGCCTCAAAGATGAGTTATAGGACGATGTCGTGGCCCTGGCACCAGCCACTCTAGAGCGTGCCATTGAACTCACTCGCATTTACGAGCATAAACAAGGTCACCGGTCGATGGTGCGCTCCGACAATTTACGTACTTCCCCCTACACCTCTAAACCCCTACTTTCACCCATACCCAACCCACCTATCCTCAACCCTACCTTTCGACCCTCCCTCACAACACCCAACCCTCCACCAACAAAGCCGATCCTCCGGCTCACTTAGACCGAGATGCGCACCCGTTGAGAACAAGGGTTTTGTTTCAACTGTGACGAACAATATCATCCCGACCATCACTGTAAACAGTCCCATATTCTTATGTTACTGGCCGATGAGGAAGATTTGGCACCTCTTCCAGACCTTGCAGACACCTTCCCACAGCCTCTTACCCTGGTTGAACAGCCGGAACACCCCATCCCTCTTAACACGATATCAACCACCAAGCGTGCCCGCTGCCGAGCGATGCGTTTGGAAGGCTTCATTCAACACACACATATTCAAGTGTTCATTAACTATGGGGCTGACCAAAGTTTCCTCAACCCACAGGTGGCGACTCGCTTGAGACTCCACGTCGACATGTCTCGAACCAAGGCAGTCATGGTGGCCACGGGCCGTTGTTTTCGCACCAAAGGGGTAGCTCCCCAAGTTCCAATCCGTCTCCAAGGATATACCTTCACTAGTGATTTCCACCTCCTCACGGTGACGGGTTGTGACATAGTATTAGGCGTGGATTGGTTGGAAGCTTTGGGCTTCATTGGTTAGAACTTTTTACTTAAAATCATGGAGTTATCGGTGCACGGCACGAACTACCGGTTGGTGGGCTCTTCCACATTCGCTGTGCTTCTCTCCTCTGTGCACCGGAGTGTCTCACCTTCTGTTGGTTTCCCTCACCCATCCATTCCACATCTAGCTAATATCACCGCAATGGATAAATCACCTTCCCCACCACCAACAAGCATTCAATCACTCATCACAGCGTATCACGAGCTCTTTCAACCACCAACATCCTTACCCCCCCCAATCGTGCTATTGATCACCGCATTCCATTACTCCCCAGCACAGGCCCAATTAACGTTCGCTCATATCGTTATGGCCATGCCCAAAAGGCGGAACTAGAGCACCAAGTTGAAGAGATGTTGGCAGCCGGCCTCATCCGTCCCAGCATGAGTCATTTTTCTTCTCCAGCTTTGTTGGTAGCTAAAACCGACTTGTCCTGGCGATTTTGTGTTAAGTATAGAGTAATCAATGCAGTCACCATCAAGGATTATTTTCCGATTCCTATTATTGATGAACTTTTAGTGGAATTACAAGGTGCGATCATCTTTTCAAAATTGGACCTCCGCTCCAATTACCACCAAATCCACATGTATGAGGCGAACATCCACAAGACTGCATTCCACATACATGAGGGGCCACTATGAATTTACCGTCATGCCCTTTGGTCTCACCAATGCCCCGACCATCTTTCAAGTTATGATGAACTCTATTTTAAAACCCTTACTCCGGAAATCTGTTCTTTTTTTTTTACGATATCTTGGTCTTTAGTGACTCCTTGGACCATCATGTTTCCCATTTGACTGTTGTCTTTGATATTCTCCATCAGCATCAGCTCCATTTGAAACCGTCGAAGTGCCTCTTTGGACAACACTCTATTACCTATTTAGGCCATATTATATCCGCTGGTGGCGTTACTGTTGACCCTTCCAAGATAGCAGCCATTGCAAAATGGCCAACTCCTTTTAGCGTCCAAGCTCTCTGTGGGTTCTTAGGTCTTACCGGCTACTACTGCAAGTTCGTACGGCATTTTGGACTCATTGCCAAGCCTCTGATAGACTTACTGAAGAAGGATAACTTCTCATGGTCCTCCACAGAACACATGACGTTTACGGCCCTCAAGGTGGCTTTGTCATCTACACCGGTCCTAGCCCTTCCCGACTTCACCAAGTCTTTCACCTTGGAATGCGATGCCTCCAATGTTGGCATTGGTTCAGTGCTGTCATAGGACAACCACCCAATCGACTTCTTAAGCAAACCATTGGCACCCAAACACCAATCCCTTTCGATGTATGACAAAGAAATGCTAGTTGTGGTGTTTGCGGTCCAAAAATGGTGTTCCTATTTAATCGGGCACCACTTCACCATTCTCATGGACCACCAAACACTCCAATACTTTTTGGACCAACGCATCACCACTCCAGCTTAACAAAAGTGGCTGCTTAAACTACTGGGGTACAACTACACTTTGGCGTATCGTCCCAGAACTTCTAATGTCACAGCCAATGCATTATCCCGTCGGCCCAAACTCCTCTCCTTGATAGGACTCTCCCAACCACTCTTTGATTGTGTGGCTAACATCTAGACCTTTTATGCAGCAAACCCGCACACCAATGAGGTCAATAAGGCGTTGCAGCAAGATCCCAACAGTAAAGTCTCCTTCAAGGTGCAGGGCAACCTTCTTTATTACAAGTCGGGTCTTTTTGTCCCAGCTACGTCCCCGTGGCGTGGCCGACTCCTCAAGGAATTCCATGCTTCTCTATCCGCATGCCATTTCGGATTTTTACGCACCTATAAGCACCTCACTCATAACTTCAACTAGCCCGACATAAAAAAAGATGTCAAGCGTTTCGTGGCTTCTTGTGATGTTTGTCAACTCACCCATTACGAAACAATTAAACCACCAGGCTTTTTACAGCCACTTCCCATTCCGCACCAAGTTTGGACAGATATCGCCATGGACTTCATCGAAGGCCTTCCTTCGGTAAATGGTCGGAATGCTATTTTGGTGGTCGTGGATCGTCTCTCCAAATACGACCACTTCATTCCTATTAAGCATCCCTATACCGCCCCTCAAATTGCAGATGTGTTCATTCATGAGGTATTTCGGTTGCACAGGATGCCGGCATCCATTGTTAGTGACCATGATTCAATTTTCCTAAGTGCATTTTGGACTGCCTTCTTCAAAAACCAACAAACGACACTTTGTAAAAGCTCAGCTTACCATCCACAATCGGATGGACAGACTGAGGTCTTGAAAGAATACTGGAGCACTATCTGCGCAATTTTGTCATGGACAAACCAACTACTTGGCTCCATTGGCTTCCATGGGAGGAATGGTGGTATAACACTACCTTTCAAGCAACGAACAAGATGACGCCCTTCCAAGTGGTTTATGGCTATCCCCCACCAACAATGTCCTCATATCTTCCAGGTTCCTCGCCGGTCCATCTGGTTGATATCACTCTCAGGGACAGAGACACTCTTCTCAAGCACCTGCGAAAGAATATACACATCACTCAGAATCGAATACGTCAACAAGTAGACAAGCACCACTCGGAGAGAACCTTTCATGTCAGGGATTGGGTCTTCCTCAAGCTCTAGCCATACCGACAGACCTCAGTGTCGAAGACTTATTGTCCCAAACTCGCTCCTCGTTACTACGGCCCCTTTCAGGTATTAACCCGCGTTGGCCCAGTTGCTTACACATTGGACCTTCCCCCTCAATCCCGCATTCATCCAAACTTCCACATCTCGCTCCTTAAGCCTAAACTTGGCTCCCATATTGTTGCATCCCCAACGCTGCCACTCGTCGCGGCAGATGGCACCTTCTTGTGGTTTCCAGAAATGATACTCCAACACGGCATGTTCAAACGGAGCAACCAGGCTATAACTCGTTGGCTAATCAATGGCAAGGCTTGCCCGAACATGATGCCACGTGGGAAGACGCAGACTCCATCATCAGTCGTTTTCCGGACTTCAACGCCTGAAGACAGGCTTCTTCGAGGGGGTGCCTTGTTAGGATTCTAATCCACCTCAGCTTATTTCCTTTTGCTTAATCCTTATCTAGTAGTGGAATAGTAGAACATAGTGACTCAGCAATAATGTACCTAACTCTTTGTCTGTAGTGAATGATGTGGGTAAACAATGCCCATGGTGGTACCCTTTTAGGATATGAATGAAAAGCTGTTCTTATAATTTCTCTGTCATTTCCTTTTTCTCTGCAATTTCTCCTCTTAGCCCTTCTGGAACCTACCACACACACACAGAGACACAGAGAGAGACATGGCGATGGAAGGAGAGCAAGGGGGAGTGGTAGGGGTCTCAACACTGTTGCTGCATATAGGAGGGTTGGTATGGTCAGAGAAGACCATATGGGTCGTCGGGATTTCAGGGAAATAGGGTAGGGTCATCAACAAACCCTACTGAGAGTGGGGTGTGCCGAATCTTGCGCTGCATGCCTCAAATCCAAAGATAAGTTTCTTTTTTAAATTGTATTCTTTAATGGTGCCTTAGATTTTCTAACTGTTTAGTATGTTAGGTCCGGTTTTCAGGGATTTCTGATTTTATAGAGAAAGATGGATAGGGAGATAGAGATATAGAAAGCACGGTTGTGTGCATTTTTTTGGGGTTAATTAATGGGTTAGTGCACAGGGTCAGTGAGGAGAGAGTAACAGAGGGGTGTATAGCAGGGTATGGGTTTTATTTTTTCCCTCTGATTCAATAGGTTATGCACTGTTTGAAAATAATTTTTTATTGTTTTGCTTTTTGTTTGCTTTGTTAGAATCATCATTCGAATTTTTGGGTTTCAATGTGCTCATTTCTATGCTTCTTCAAAATTTTCTGGTGTTCGCTTCTCATTCCTCTATTGGTTGATATTTTTTTTTTCCCATTTCTTGGTTCCTTATGTATTCCTTGGTTCTATCTAATTTTTGGCTATGGGATGATGCTTGCAGGTGAACTTTATGCACGGTTTTTTAGGACGAGTTAGGAAGATCCACCTGAAAACAGCATACAAGATAGAGAATTGGTATGATGCTTTGTCTTTCGGTTGGATTTTGACGTTTATGTTCTGCTACTAAGAGGATTTTATAGTGTTCTAAATTTGTTTTGTAAATGTGCTTAAAGATTGGACATGTTCTTGAATATTAGCCATTTTGTTTGAATTGGATATGTGAGTTTGAATTGATTTGGATATGTGGTTTATTGAACTGGAATTGGATATGTGCTGATATGAATTGGATATGTTGAATTAGAGATGTGCTACTTTGAATTGGATAGGTTGAAAAATGACAAGCCATGGTTTATTGATTGTTTTTTTTTCTTTTAGGAAAACTAATGAAAATGGCTTGAAAACTTTGAGTTTTAATGATAAGGACAAAATAAATGATAAAGTAAATAGTACCAAAATTGATTTTTTAGTGTAAAAATATGATTTTTTTTTGTTAAAATGAACAGTACTGGAGTTTTTCGTTAAAGTTTCTTATTTTGCCCCAAATTCAACAAAGTCCAAGTCACCGAGCTTCAGCACATCATTCACGACCTCTGAAAGTGGAAACGCTTCTCCCAAGCCATACAGGTTTCCATCTTTCTTTCTTACCTTGCAATTTGTGTTATCCCCTGTTTGGTTGCTCAGAAAATGAAAGAAAATTGAAAGAAGCATCAAAGTAATTAAATTTTAGTTAAAGAAAGTGAGTGAAAGAGGGAATTAGGATTTTTGTTAGTTAATGTGTTTGTTTGTATCATAAGTAATTGAAAATTCCTCTGCTTTAGTAATAATGTGTTATAGGTTGCAGATTTCAAAGTGGATGAATCAGAAGGGGATATGCATATTTTCGTCAGTTGAGCATGCTGTGCAGCTGGATTTGATTGGGAAGGAAGAATTTTGCACAAATTGATGTGAAATAAAGCCAGTTTGAGTCTGTGGGTCGAATCGTATTGGACATTGTGCATCATGGAGCATGTGATTGCTCAGAAGTTTAAGCTAGGGAGGAAGATTGGGAGTGGGTCTTTGGGAGAACTCTATTTAGGTATGGTAATCAGTGCTTGATATCCTTTTTTCCTTAGAAAATTACTCATTGTGTTAATTTAATGTGTTTTGTAATGAAATTGCTCTTCTAGTGTTAGGTGTAAATGTACACAGTGGGGAAGAGGTGGCTGTTAAGCTGGTATGTGATCGATCCTCAAATCGTAGTGTTCATTTATAACAAATTCACCATTTGAATTGGGTTGATTTGTGGGTGTGGATTTTCAAGCTAAAAGATTTTTGTGGACCAGTTTATCTTTTTTTTCTTAGGAAAAATAAAATTTGAATGTCATCGTTGAATTGTATTACTCATCAAGTTTCAAGGTGCGTTTGAAGGATTCGAAACTGCTGTAAGCTAAATGGGTGTGAAACAAGCTGGTGGCACTATTGACACTGTGCCTGCAAAGGAACAGGTACGCCTGAAAATCAACTAATTATATTTTATTACGGAAATCAACTGGTTTATATTTTTTGTAGCAGTCCCACAAGATTTGCTTGCAGTCATGATCTCCATCGGCACCCGGATGCAGTGTTAAATGAGCAAGGGGGCCATAGAAACTTCTTTTCGAACGACTCCACTCAAAGTTGTTTGGGAGCATATGCTCCTATCAACTTTACCCGGGACACACAAAAGAAGTACTTTGATCCTATTAGACGGGGGAGGGTGAAGAAGCTAGGACAGAAGGGTAGAGTTCAAGAGAGCAAAATGCGTTTAGGAACGTGGAATATAGGAACCTTAACGGGAAAATCTATGGAAGTAGTGGAAGTTATGGTGAGGAGAAGGATAAATATTATGTGCCTACAAGAAACTAAGTGGGTTGGTAGTAAGGCAAAGGATCTAGAAAACTCAGGGTTTAAACTTTGGTATTCGGGCACAAATAGAACAAAGAAACGGTGTTGGCATCATCGTGGACAAGACCTTGGTACAAGATGTTGTAGATGTCAAGAGGGTAGGAGATAGAATCATGGCAATCAAGATTGTAATAGGACAAGAACTTATCAATGTGATTAGTGCGTACGCACCTCAAGTAGGGTTGGATACGAGTTCGAAGGAGAAATTTTGGGAAGATCTTGGAGACTTGGTGCAAGGAATTGCTCAGACGGAGAAGTTATTTATAGGAGGAGATTTAAATGGACACGTGGGCAGGGAGACAGGCAACTATGGAGGTTTTCATGGTGGCCATGGTTTTGGGGAGAGAAACGAGGAGGATGGGGAAGCTATCTTGGATTTTTGCAATGGCATATGATCTCTTCTTAGCCAACACCTTCTTTAAGAAGAGAGAAGAACATGTGATCACCTACAAGAGTGGGTCGTCAAAAAACACAAATAGATTTTCTTCTAATGAGGAAAGGGGATCGTATAACTTGTAAGGATTGCAAAGTTATACCAGGAGAGAGCGTGGCTAATCAACATCGCTTGTTGGTGATGGATGTACATATCAAAAGAGTAAGACAAAAGAACAAGACTTGGAAGTGCCCAAGGACTAGATGGTGGAATCTAAAAGAAGAAAAAACAAGCCATTTTCAAAGAGAAGGTAATCACCCAATGTGTGTGGGATAGAGAGGGGGAAGCTAGCCAAATGTGGGATTCCATGGCTAGTTGTATCCGAAAAGTAGCAAAAGAGGTATTAGGAGAGTCCAAGGGCTTTGCCCCACACCAAAAGGAATCTTGGTGGTGGAATGAGGAGGTACAAACAAAGGTGAAGGCTAAGAAGGAATGTTGTAAAGCCTTTATACAAGGAGAGGACCGATGAAAATGGTGAAAGGTATAGAAAAGCGAAGCAAGAGGCGAAGAAAGCTGTCAGAGAAGCTAAGTTAGCGGCTTACGACGATATGTATAAACGACTAGATACCAAAGAAGGAGAGTTGGATATCTATAAACTATCTAGAGCAAGGGAAAAGAAGACAAGGGACCTAAACCAAGTGAGGTGCATCAAGGATGAGGATGGAAAGGTTCTTGCTACAGAGAACGCGGTTAAAGACAGATGGAGAGGTTATTTTCATAATCTTTTCAATGAAGGACATGAAATGAGTGCTTCTTTAGGGGAGTTGAGTAACTCAGAAGAGTGTAGAAACTACTCTTTTTTATCGTCGAATCCGGAAGGAAGAAGTGGTTGTAGCTTTGAAGAAGATGAAGCATAAAAAAGCAATAGGCCCAGACGATATATACCAATCGAAGTGTGGAAAGTTTTGGGAGAGACAGGTATAACATGGCTCACTGACCTTTTCAATAGGATTTTGAAAACGAAGAAGATGCCAAATGAGTGGCGAACGAGCACTTTGGTGCCTATCTACAAGAATAAGGGCGACGTACAAAATTGCATGAACTATAGGGGTATTAAGCTAATGAGTCATACAATGAAGCTCTGGGAGAGAGTCATTGAGCATAGATTGAGGCAAGAGACACGGGTTTCGGACAACCAATTCGGGTTCATGCCAGGGCGCTCAACCATGGAGGCAATCTATCTCTTACGAAGATTGATGGAAAGATATAGAGATGGGAAAAAAGGATTTACACATGGTCTTTATAGATTTGGAAAAAGCGTATGATAGGGTCCCAAGAGACATTCTTTGGAGGATTTTAGAGAGAAGAAAGGAGTACGAGTAGCATATATCCAAGCTATAAAGGATATGTATGAAGGAGCAAAGACTGCCGTAAGAACTCATGAAGGACAAACCGAAAGCTTTCCCATAACTGTAGGATTACATCAAGGCTCATCCTTAAGTCCTTACCTTTTTGCGTTGGTAATGGATGAGTTAACAGGACATATTCAAGATGATATATTCCTTGGTGTATGCTTTTCGCAGACGATATAGTGTTGATAGATGAAACTCAGGAAGGGGTAAATGCAAAGCTTAACCTTTGGAGAGAAGTGTTGGAATCTAAAGGTCTTCGCCTAAGCCGATCAAAGACAGAATATATGGAGTGCAAGTTCAGTGCAAATGGAGGCCAAAACGAGTTAGGGGTGAGGATCGGAGATCAAGAAATACCAAAGAGCGACCG